TTATATGGCGAACTTGGTGCAATGAGATTACCTTATGTCCAAGATCGACCAGATCTTAGTCCACATCAACTAGTCTTCGATACAATCGATTATATGAATGAATATAATAAGAAAGATGACCCAAATAAATTTATCCAACGTATTCCTTTTATTTTTACCAATCCAAAGTTAGTATAATTTTTAAACATATAATCAACATATCAGTATTAATGCATTTATTACTATTAATATATAATATATATTAATCATTTATACGCATTTTAAATCCTAATACATATCTAAACGTTCAAAGTGCCTTATATTACTTCAACAATAAAAAAGCTCCACACGGTGAAATTATGACTTATAATTATTCAGAAAGCGCTAGTGTAAAACAATTAGGGTTACCTGATGGAATTCCAAAAAATTATGTTGATCTTTGGGTCGACGCTCTACAACCTTTCTTTGACGAATTGGATGCAAATTTTACAAGCGGTCTCATAAATTTAAAACGTTATGATCATTATAGTGTCTATTCTTATTTAAGAGAAATTTATCTCCCCAAAGTAATACCATCAAAATCTGCTTATTATGATGAAATTATTGATGCTATTGAATTACAAGAAGCTGGCACAGGTATTTAAATGTTCTTTTTTTTTTTTTTTACTATTTATCAGCTGTTAAATAATATAAAATAATATACTTTATACATAATAGGTGAATATCATGAATTAAGTTTTGTTACTTTGGCCATGGAAATGTACACTTTCAGCAGCCAAAACTATAATATAAGCTGGAATACCATTGATAAAGGAATGCAACGGTTACCTAATGCTTTCTTACCAATGATCAAAAAGGAAAATATTAATTTGACTTATAATAGTGAAGTTTATAAGCTAGAAAAAACAAATGATAGTAAAATTGAAGTGTATTGGAAAAATAATGGAAGAAGTGTCTCCGAAATTTTTGATCGAGTAATTGTCACTGTTCCGTTAGGTATCGTCCGTCATTGGGATTTACCCTTAAGTAAGTACTACACGTATATATTATTAGTGTTATTTATTACATTTTTTAAAGAAATTAATTTCATGAACTAATTATTTGGAACATTAAAATATTTATTATTTATCTTTGCCATTTTAATAGCATTATCATATGGAAAAAGAAGTGCAATTCGTGAAATGAATTATGGATTTTCTGGAAAAATTTTTCTCCAATTCAAATCACGTTTTTGGGAAAAATCTCCTAAAGAAACTGGTGCTAATCCTACAACTTCTAATGTCGGAATTGTTGGTGGTATCACTCACACTGACCTTCCTATTCGTACTTTGGTTTATCCTTCATATTATGTAAATATATCTTCTGATAAACCTGGTATCCTTTTAGCATCTTATACATGGGGTAATGATGCGGTAAAATATGGTCAATATACTGAGGAAGAACGATTTGAACTTGCTTTAAAAGATTTAGCAACTATTCATGGTGATATTGTATATAAAGAATGGGTTCCAGGTAAAGATAATAATAAGGCTGAGTATTGGCCGAATGATAGAACTAGCGGAGGTGCCTATGCATACTATGGTGTCTCACAACTAGAATCAATAATGGGTCCCATGATGAGACCGGAAGAATCTATTCATTGGGGTGGAGAGCATACTGACATACATTGTGCTTGGATTGTTGGAGCTCTAAATTCAGGAGTTAGAGTAGTTAAAGAAATACTACTTGAAAATTTAATGGGTGATAAATGGTCTGAATTAAAGGAGACAAGATTATTAAAATATTGGAATGGGAATCTTGGTGCTTTTGAAGGATATTAAGATGTATATTTTTTTAGGGATGCAAAACTAATTACTTCGCTAATATTTATTTTGTACACTATTAGAATGATAATGGAAATAATAATGTTAATAATTTTAATAAATCTTTATTACATAATAATTTTTTGATCTTAGAACCAAAATATTAAAATATATATTAAACCTGTATGCTTGTGTTATATGTGGGGTGAGCATTGAAATTAAGTTGTGTCAAAGGTGAAGATATAATGCTATAATTTGCTGTAGTTGTAATTAGTGCTCCGCGATAGTGTCAACCCGTTTGGAGTAATAGTTATGAAAGTACAAGCTTGTTAAAGGAATTCTTATTAAAAATAATGCTTAAATAATTTAACATTATTTATTTTTATGACGTTTTGCAAAGAGGTGTGATCCTGTGATTTCGTGATGATGGTACGGGTGATTTTAAATTACCTATCTATAATATTTTCAATCAATAATTCTACATTTATTCAGTCTTTAAAGTTGTTTACGAATCAAAAAACTGCCAAAATCTTACGATTTCCTGTGTTCAGATCTGCAGGAAATGCAAAACCACCATAACGATTAATAAATATATACTTTTATGTAATAAAAGATTTGATATATGTTGAGAAAGTTTTATATTATTAAATCTATATACCAAAACAGAGTTATAATTTATTGAAAATGTTTAAATATCTTGTTATATTAGACAAGCAACAAAAAATGCGAATTTTTGAAGTATTTTTTAGAGTTTAGAGTATTTTTTATTATAAACGAGTATAGGCGGGCTTTAAGGGTTAAATAGTAAACCCTTATTTCATTTTAATCACAATAAATATATGACAAATACACAATCCATATAGAAACAATAAGTAAGAAAAGGGATTATAAAAAAAGAAATTCTATGTAAAAGATTAAGTAAAAGAGCACTGACAAAAAAAAATAATACCAATTGTATTATATCTTCTGACTATAAATAATTATATTTTGTTTAAATAACATTGACTTAACAACTTAATTAATCTATGTTGCAACAACCTACTTCAGGAAATAAGCAACATATTTGATAAATCTAAAAAAGAAGACATTGTTAATAACTATGTATAAATAAAAAATTATCTATGTGATATTGAGAAATAAACTTACTATATTGCAACAGAAACTATCACTAAACAGTTTATTTTGCTGAATTTACAAATAAAATAGATTAGATGCAGTTGATATTAAAAAATCCAAAGTACTGAATTGAATAAATTAAATAAAAAAATTGAGTGTTACCACTTATCAATTATTTAGAAATTAATACTGTATATAAGAAATATAAAAATCATTATGAAAATAAGAAATTAAAAACATACTGTTTTTCCAATTTTATTTTAGATTGTTGAATCTCATTTCTAGAAATTACAGTGCTCTCTAAAATATCAAATGAAAAGAAGCTTCATGATTTTACTAAATGCAAAATTTATTTTGTTTTTTGAAGATTTCTTTTTTCTTTATATATATATATTTATTTTTACATGTATTTTTTTAAAAAAAATAATTTACACAACTAAGTACTCTTATTTATATGTTCAAGAATAAATCTCAGATAATGCTCTACCTAATAAAGTATAACAATTCAACTAATGAGTATATAAAAATTTATTTATTGAGTATTATTAGAAAATATGCTAAGCTAAACTAAATAAGTAACATACTGTAAAAATTTTGAGTATACTACTTGAATACTTATACATGTGTATATAGTATCTAAACAAAATATAAATATACAAAGAGAAATGAGACTTCAGGCTTTTTGGATTCAGTCATAAAAATTTTGATCTGTGACATACTGTATATAATATGTAATTATATTTAGAAATGTGCCAATGTGTATTTTTATATCAAGATTTATATAACTTTTTTTTTATATATCCATGTGCATGATTCTGAAAAAGTATATTTTGCTTATTTTTATTTACAAGTGCAAGTTATTGGGCCAGCAAAATATCTTGCATTTAGAAAGAACTTGCACTTAAAGAAAACTAAATTAATATATAATTAATTCTCTCTAAATGCAAGTTTATAAGTTAAAAAAAATATCTTGCACTTAAAAAAAAAACTTTAATTAAATAAGTCAATTTAATTAGTTAATAATATATTTTGCAATTAAAGAAAATAATTTTATATATGCTGGCTAAAAAAAATCTTGCACTTAGAGAATAAAGAACTTGCTTTTATATTATAAGTTTCAATACAGAATCAGACTATTTAATTGCATTTAGAGAGATATTGCACTTAGAGAGAGTTGACTATATATAATTGTTAGTTTTCAAGAGCTAAATCTAACAAAAAATAAAGATAAACTTGAAAGTACAAAGTCTTGTTTTCTCTTGGCTGTATTCTTATAATCATAAAAATTTAGCCAGTATTAATAACTAAAATAAAATTGATACTCAAATATTAAACATTATATGAGATTGTTATAATTAATGATGTAAAAATTAAATTTTATATGAGTTTTATAAATATTTTGAAAAATTCTGATATCTTCAAAATCTCTAAATTATGATCTCATCATTAGTAATACCTTAAAATAGCAAGTTAGTTATTTAACAATTTAAGATGTATAATTTATAAAAAGATTAGACAAGGTCTTCTGATCCACATGTGGGTAGGTGCAACAAGTCACATCTGGGTACACATGATGTAAAAAAAAAAAAAGGTTAATCAAATAGAGATATTTATATTTGGTGAGTAGAGATTATGACTATAAGTGTAGCTTCTTTGATATACTGTATATCAAGAGCTGAATTACAATACTTCTATTCTTATTTACTTATTAATATAGCAAAATTAAGAATTAGATTTTTTACTTAAACCCTAAACCAAAATAAAATAATAACTACAACTGTCTACTATATATTGAAAGAGTTGGAAAACAATGACAGTAAATCTCAGTATGTTAAAAATCAACTAGACAAAGTAGCAGTACACTTATATTTATTATATAAACAAGAAAATAACAATTAAGAGGCATCCATAATTTACATTAAAACAGTATTGTTATAAGGAATTTAAGATAATACTATATGGTATTATCTTCAAGATCTTTATTTCTATACAATACAGTGCTGGTTTAATATAAATTATGAATACCCTCTTATATTACTTAAGTAGCAGATCCAGGTCTAAGTATCTAATTATAGTGTAAAAAAAAATATAAAATTATTAAAAAACAAATTTGTATGAATCACAAAAGATAACCTCTCTCAAGAGTAAAAAGTCTTTATTATATACTTTATCTCTCTTATAACTTATTAAAAGTTTTATTCATAATACATTTTTATTCTATACAAACTAATTATTCTTCATATTATCTATTAATTATAATTTCAAAAAAAAAAAAAAACTTTTTTTAATGATCACCTAAACCAAACTTTCCCACCAAATGAAAAACAAAAATTTGTTGAAGAAGAGAAGACAGTACTATGGGGCAGTTTTTGTAAAGGTCAACCTTTTGATTTTAGAAACTTCTTTACATATTTGGCATGAAAACCAAAAGCGTTAGGAAACAAGATAACTGGCAAGAGTTGGCATCCTTGCTTCCAAAATTCCGAAAAAAAGATGCTCATAAGAATTTGGGACCTTTTTGTTGACGAAGTAACTCATAACACAAAAGAATAAAATAGAAGAAGAAGAACAAATAGGTTTTTCTGATGACGCTCCCTGAAAATTTGAAGACTTTCCTTTGAATAATGTATATTATGGCTTGGTTTAAAAGAAGCCTTAATGTGAGATATAGAAAAAGAGACCTATTATAGGCACAGAACTTGTCTTTAGAGATAGTTCCCATATGCTACCTGCCGTCAAGCTTAGAGTTTATCACTCATTGAAAAAGCTTAGTACTATGCAGGCTTGGGTAGACATTTCTTTGATATTTCCTCTTGGTTTTTTTACCTCTCTCTCAATTTGCCATTCTTTTTAAAATTTTTAAAAAAAAGTGGCCATTTGGGCTCACTTCCTTTAAAAGATCAGCAATATTTACACCTTCCTAATTCAGATATAAAATACAATCATGTGTTTGTTTTGTTTATCAATATGGTGCTACAGTATGGAAAAGAGATTGGTACCCCATTTAGGAAATACCCAAGTCTTATATAATAAGATGATATCTTACAATCAAGATATATTAATTAGTTGCAATTATTATATAATTTTTATCCTTATGCCTAGCACGGGCTATAATAGTATATTATGGCTATCTTTCTTTTTTTTTGCTTTTTTTATCTTGGTTCATTTATGTTAAACTATTTTAGAATTTGTTGAAAAGTTTTTTTTTCTCACTATAAAGTGTTTTTTTTCTAAAATGTTTATGTCTTTTATAAACATGGCTTTATTTTTTCATTTTTATATATGATAAGGGTTTTAATTTTGTTGTCAGTTTAGGTGGAAAAAGTCTGAAAGAAGGGAAAGGTGATTATAACAGATGGTAGGTACTATCTGTTAAGAGCTGGGTCATATCCAATTGCAGAAGGAGTCTGGAAGAAGGAGAATCCTACTATAGCAAGTTGAATATAGATACACATTGAGAAACTGGGTTAGTCTTTACTTGTAATTTAGGTATATTTGTGTGGCTCTCAGGTGCGGCACATATCATTTAAAGATAGTTCTCATATGCTATCTGCTGACATATTCAGAGTTTATTACTTACTGATAAATCTCTCTAAAATTTTAATAGTTTAGATGATTATTACAAAGTCTAATAAGTAAAAGCACAACTGCTAAATTGTTAAAAAAATATATATATATTAATTATAATTTATATTTATTGATGCTATTATTTTCTTATTTTCTTTTTACTCCTTTTCCACTTTTTTAGTACTAGAAACTTATTTTTAACATATAGGCAGATTTTAGAAATTTGGTAATATTCTCAATTAAGATCTTCAAAATTTGTTGAATCAGAATAATAAAATTTGTAATAATTTTAAATTTGGTTTATATTGATTAGTTTATTTATTTATTAATAGTAGTTATACTGTTTTTTCTTCTTTATTATAATAGTTTGAAATTTTGTATTGAGTTTGGGCTCTATAGCTTAGTGGTTAAGCTGCCAAACCCCCACAGTATAAGCTAAAGTCCACGGTTCAATTTAGGCTAGAGGCAAAAGAAACTCTGTAACCTTATGATGTTAGGAGCTAATAATCGGATATAGAGCCCTGTGAAAAGCCCAAGTGAAGTACGAATTTAGAATAGGAATTCCTGGAAGGAGATTTAGCCATAGAGAATTGGTGTTACGTGCAATATTGTAGAAGATTTTGGGGCATATAGGTTGTGCATGTAAATCCACGATTGGCAGGGTAGTACCAACAACCCCTGGGCAGTCTGGGGATCTTGATTGGAAGGGTAATACTAGTGTGCCAAAGCTAGAGTAATGGGTAATGTGGTGAATATGGTTAAGATCTGTGATAAAGAATTGGCCTAACTAGATTTGGAACACCTCTGGTGCTATACAAGATTGGAAGTTGTATTAGGTATTGAGTCGTACATGACTAATTTTAGTAATGAGTGCCATACCAGTGCATTATAAGTCAAGATTCCAGGCCTCCTTGCATTACCAAGCTAGAAGTAAAACAATCATCAGTAGTACACCCATATAATATAGTTATATTAGGAAGCTTTGGCGCCCATACTGCAAGTCAATCATACCAACTATGGTAGCACTATAAAAAGCAAGTGGTACACTGCAGAATGACAACCGGAATTTCAATAAATCTGGCTGTGTCCATTTGGAAAATGTTGTGGCTTGAGATACGAATCGTGTTATAACAGCATCTCAAAAAATACAAACACAATGGTGACAGCACAACATGTACTCAAATTAGAGTGGTACTAAATTGAATATAAGGCAATAAGAGCGAAAAACTGCCAAAATAAACCAAACTGGGAGAAAAAGAAAGTTGCTGCAGGAAGCAGATAGGTGGACAAAGGTACCAATAACAATATAGAAGATCTTGTATAGAAATAGGTAGGTTGTACGCCAACTAAGAAGTTAATTGTAGCCATTAGTTAGATTCTAAAAAATAGTAAAAGTCAACTAAATTGCTAGGGTGGGTGTCATTAAGTAATTAGTATAGCACAACTCCTTCACTGTAATATCTAATTGTAATAAGTTCTATATTAATTAATAAAGATTTACAGTGTATAAGCAATTTAAAAATAAAAAAAAATAAATAAAAAATTTTGCATTTATGCTTAGCAAAACCTTAGATTTAAAGATGGTTTTTTAAGATCTAAAAATAGCCAAGACTTTTACTAATAACAATGCCAAAAGTTTATTTATTAAAATAATTATTAAAATACTATTTATTTTTACAAAGCTTTTACTTTTTTTTCTTTATTATAACTATTTAAAATTTTGTATTTATACTCAATAAGACCTTAGTTTCAAAGATTTTGTAGTTTTTTAAAATTCTAGAACAAGCAAAACTTTTACTAATAACTATTTTGAAGATTTAAAAAAATTTAAATACATTTGTATAATAATTTCAATATCTTGTATATAGATTATATAATTTATTAGATAATTAGATATATAGTCGCACCCCCTAAGTGCATGCCCCCTAAATGCACACCTCCTCTATATACACACTTTAGCCTGGTTCCAAGCTCTGAACTTAAATGTCCTCTATATTCTGCATGTGCATAGGTTTCCAGGATTTTAAACATATGTATACACCCCTTTAAATACATGTACATGACTAATTTCAAAGCTGGCCAATTACAATAAAGAATTTTTTGCAAGACGACCTCATATACCTTTTTTAAAAATTTATTTTATACAGATATGAGGTCATTTTATACAAATCTGGCTTCAAATACTATACTTTAATGTATCAGCTGAATTTATGAATTTTGCTCTAAAGGATGATATGTGACATAATTTGTTTATTGTATAAAAAGATCGTAGAAAGATTAAAAATTAATATAAAGTTAATCTTGCCAGTTATGTACAGTATATACGTATGTATAAACATATGCGCATAGTTATCTAAATTTAGAGAGCCAATTCTATTATTATAATCCTCTTTATGAAGAGTTAAATTTGGGCCTTAATTTCGATTAGAGGATATGTTGGCTTCGTAGACTAATTTTCCGACAATAGAGGTTTTACCTGTTCTACCTGTTCTATAGATAATGTGTTATCAGTTATTATCTTTGTCAAGTTCACCACATACCGGATCATAAACTCTTTTTCATAAATATTTAATTACATTGTTCCAAAAAAAAAATTTAAAAAATAAATTATAATTTTTTTTTCTTATAAGCAAAAATCCTTGATGTTTATTAAACCATTGAAAAGTAACAAACAGAGAAAGAAAAAAATCTATGCCACCCAAACAATAGCCACTGATTTATTATTTAATTTCCTTCCATAAAAAATTAATCAATTTTACTTTGTCGCATGTGGCCAACCTTTATCTTTTTGATAAAATTTTTAATTTTTTTTACATAATTAATATATTTTTCTGTATTATCCTGCTGAAGTAAAAATGTAAGCATGGTTTTCAAACTTGCAGTTGCCATGTCGGCACTAACGATAGGGATTTCAAGGCTATTGTCAGCATCTTCTGAGTCAGCATCTATTGGGTTATCCATTCTGAAGGTTTCAACAAGCTCCATAATAACTTGATTATTGGGGAGAACTTCATAAACAATATTTTCTTCAGGAATTGCAATGTACTTTTCAACGTTTATAGGGTCAGGAAGACCAAGAGATTCAAGTGCATTGGCAATTTCATTAATAATAGAATCTGTGGTTTGGTGAAAATCTTCTAAAGACCTGAGTCAAAGTCGTCATCTGCAGAAAGAATTTCTGTATGATACTAGCAATTTCGGATTGTATTAGCTTTAACTTCGTCCCACCCTTGAATAGTAAAATGGATTGCTTTAACACATCCATTTTTAAATCTTCTGCGCATCATCCATTTTCGACTTCTTGTAATATCCAACTTGAAAATGACCTAATTAGTGTAATATCTAATTTGATTGATTCAAATTTTTTTTTATTAAAAAAAACTTATCGAACATGAAGGCAACAATAGTTTCTCTTGAAATTAATGATAACACCAGCATCCATGGGCTGACTTCTCGAGGTTGTATTTGGAGGCAAAAATAAAACATTAGTAAATTTGAGAGTAATATTACCAATATCATGGCTAAGGCAGTTGTCAAGAAGTAAAAGCACACGTTGGCCCTGATAATTCAAACTGACTTGGTGATCAAATTCAAGGATCCATTCATGAAAAAGAGATATAATTATCTAGGCTTTAGTACTGTTTCTATATATCATCGCCAAATTACTAACATTAATATTTTTAAAACAGCGCAGTTTTTTATATTTTCCAATTATAAAAGAATTCAGTTTATGGGAGCCATTAACATTTGCACACAATGCAATTGAGAGCCGTTCTTTACTTCTTTTACATCCAGAAAGATGTTGGGTTGCCAATATATAATCGGGTTCTAATCTAAAGGTAAATTTTAGTAATACGGTTTATACGAAAAGAAAAATCTAGATCCATTTAAATTTATTTTATTTATGCTATACTAATAGAAAAGCCTGGTTTTGTCCATGTTGTAGATCTGTTTAGGAGGGTAATTTGAACATGTATTATTTATTGAAGGCATGATGTTATTAATTGCCACTACATTAGCAGATGCAGATTCGCCTTGAAGTTTACGTAGACGAATGTCATTTTAATTTTTGAACTTATAAAGCCAGCTAGGGGAAAAACTTAGTGCATTTTGAGGAATCCCTAAACTATCAGCAAGTACTTTTGCTTTTTCAACTAGTAAAGCATCAGTTAAAATTGTTTGATACTGATAAATCAACACGAACTCCTTTAGGGCTAGATCAAGTTCTGGATAGGTAACAGCTCTGGACACTTCGTATTAGAATTAACATTATTGTCATCAAGTCGTTCTTCTGTTGTTTTTTAAAATGTGTGAAATTGTGCTTTCATCAACTTTAAGGTTCCATTTGTTCTCAATCCATTCAACATATTGAGACTGAGTTTTTTTATTATCACAGGCATAGACACAAAGTTCATGTTTTTGTTGATCAATAAGAGTTGTTTTCTTAGGCATTTTTTTGAACAAAAAAACCAGATTATATATGAGATAAGTTATTTAAGTATTTTTTTTATAATTTTTATTGTATAAATTTAAGGTGTCAATTTTAATTTTTTTTGGTTTTTAGCAGTATGTCATTTTTACAAATAAGTTATATTTGAAGGGCTTTAATGCATTTAAATTAGATAAGTTCAAGGAAGGTTGTTGGATTTATCAGGCTAATTGGGTCATTGCCATTAGAGACAGACCTTTATTTTGTAACATGAGCAATTGATAACAAATAAAGTTTATATCTCATGAAATGTTTATATAAATGATGAAATACATGTCCTGTTTGAGCATGTTTAAATAATTAAACAAGAAATGATAAGTTAGTGAAAAGTATTTTAATAATTTAAATTAATTTATGCTTGATATGGTCAAATTTGATATGAGCAAATTTCACTTACTTAGTACTGAATTTTTTTATGAACAGATTAGTGCTCCACAAACTCAAATTAAAGTTTGAATCCCAAATCAAATATTTGATCAAATCAAGTATTTGATCAAATCAAATATTTGACCAAATCAAATTGATCAAATAGATCAAATAAGTGATTTATATGCATTTTGAGTTTGTTTGCCATAAATGTGCATTTATCAATTGTAATTCAAGGATATTATAATTTCTTGAGCAATACCTTCACCTTTACGGTCAGGGTTAGTTGCCAGTAAATTTTAAAGCTTTCCTTTTGCAAATAAGTTTTCCAAAAGTCAATAAGTTTTTTTTTATTTGGAATTATCTTGTAAGAAGAAGCAAATTTGGTTAGTTCAATTCCCAAATTATAATATCCTTATTTAGCCAATTCAGTTATGTGGCCGCCAGTAGCAAATATCTGATAATTATTTCCAAGAAAAGTCTTAATAGTCTTTTTTTTTAATGAAATATTCTAAGAAAATTAAATACTTGTGATTTGCCAACATGTAAAATTTTTATTTTTATTATATATGTAGCTGTATTGTATAAATTTTTCGAGTTACTAGAATAGAATTTGTTTCATTAAAACAAAGTTGGTTATACTATAATATATCTTGTCAGTGCTAGATTAAGCTAAATGTAAAAAAACAAAAGCTTATATGAAAGATTGAACTTGATTTCTTCAGAGCACTGTTCTGAATGACTAAACAATAAAAATTTGATAATATGATGAACAACAAATCTTTCTAGTGTCTTGATTACTGCTTGTTAGCAGAAAAACTTGATCTATATATCCTAAATGAGAAAACAGATCTTACCAGTTCTTTTACCTAATTGAGCAATTATTCATAATCAGATCCAAAAGTTTATCTGCCAAAAGTAAATTGACTATAATTTTCAAGAAGTAATCACACCAATTCTAAGAAGTAAAGATTTGTATCAAACTAGTGGATATTTGTTTCATTATCAGGATTACATGTTTTCAGAAATTAGACGAAATAATGAAACTTACTACCTGTGTCCCATGACTTGTCCTCATCATTGTTTAATTTACTAGAACCAGCCTTACTCTTATTAAGAATTGCCTTTTCGTCTTTGAAAAACTCTTTTTTGTATCGTTATGAATCTTCTGGAGCTCTAAAAAGTTTAAAAAGAGCTTGTTGGATGGAACTAGCTGATCACCACATTTTTGTTGGGTTTGACAACTAAAAGAAGAACTAAAAAAGAATTATTACTATATTGCTGACATTTTGTCTGCTTTTAATTTTTCTATTTTGCGTTTAGTTTGTTCTCTTCATGATTCGGTTCAAGATGAAAAATATCATGCAAATAAAGATCTATAAAATTATGCAGAAAATATGCTTATTGATTCTTTAAATGAGCTAAATTTAGATTATATCAGGCTTCAAGGAGAAGCAGCTTCTATAACATACCGTATAGTACAATATTTTAATCGTACTGTATATAATCTTCAATTTCCTGGTATTTAAGGCTCTATTTAAATATACTAATTATCTCTATACTCTTTTTCTCTTCTTTTTATACAGCAACGGGGTTAATATTCTAATTCAAACTCTTCTTCTCTTCTTTTTGTACAGCAATAGGTTAATATTCCAATTCAATCATTAATATTCTTAACGATTGTCATGCAGTCACGTGGTTGTGATGAAACAATGCAGAATTAGGTTAACAATAACAAAATTTCGATAGTTTATTTGATTACAATTTGATTACAATATAAAAGGGGTCTGATTACTAAAATATTTTTTCTTTTCTTTTTCTCTTATTAAATTTTTAACGACACAATGTGACAAGTTTCGGGGACAAAGGAAGGCTTTTTTGAATGATTTATATTACTTAATAGGCAATTCTCCAGTCAACTTTACAAATTTTTTTTTTTTTTATATATAAATTTTACTATAAATGCAAATACACCGAGCCTGTATCTAAAACTTTTTTTATACTAAGTAAATTACTCTTTGGCTTCTAACAAAAGTTGTAGAGCTCATCAAAATGTACTTAATACTGAAAGGATATTAAAATTGGCCTGG